AACAGATGATCAGAAAATCATGGAAGGGTGATTGGAGATATTAGTCTTTTGGGATCTCTATAGAGCTCCACATCATACAGAGCCCTTGTGGCACAGTGATTAAGTATAGTATTGCAGGTAAACTCTGCCAACAGACTTGAGTTTGATCCTGATGGGGCTCAAGGCTCATCCTTCTGAAGTCAATAAAATGAGGACCCAGATTGTTGGGGGCAAAATGCTGATGTTGTAAACCACCCAGAGAGTGCTCTAAAGAACTATGGGGTGGTATATATGTCTAAATGTAAATACTACCATTCCCTAGTCCTGGAAGTGGCTAGTGGCACAACAAAGTTACCCAGAGTTGTATGATCAGCAGTCAGCAAGAGTGGTTGATGAACTGATCATTTTAAGGATCCCTGACAAAAACAGATTTTCTCCATGATGATTTTTCCCCAATCTGGTCCTTCAGGTTTTCCAGCAGTGCACCCATCACCACTGTCACCGAGTTTATCCACATACCCACTTGTGGTCTTATTCTCTTTCAACTTTAGAATTAGGGCAGCTCAATTCTAAAACTTGCAGCCTCGCTCCAATGCGTGGTACAGCATCTACTTAGCTTATTCTTGCATGTGTTCTCTCTTTCATTAACTTCCTAAGCTGAAGAAAGAGGAGAGCAAATCTGTTTCGGGATAATAGCTACAAACATGTACAGCCTCTAGTATTCATGGTTCCCCCGAGAAACAGATTGTGTACTTGCTGTACTTCTGTATTTGAACCAACCAATCTGAAATAGCAATAACTCCAGTGCCATTTTTATAGCCTTAAATGTTTCATTTAACAAACCCAATGGCTGCTTCAATTTAAAGATTAGAAAAGGGTGTAATACAAAAGGCAGCAATTTGATAATTGTCATATATACCTTTATTTGGTTCAGATAGTCCTTGACTTATGACCAGTCGCTTAGCAACTGTTATGACAGACCTACCTGGGGGCTACTTATGACCTAGATTCTAAGTTCCAATATTGAGGCCTCCCTGCAGTCATGTGACTGAACTTTGGGTGCTCGGCAACCAGCATTTACTTCCTGTTTTCAGCAAAATCGTGCCCATAGTGAACAATTGATTCATTCAAAAATAGCAGTGTTCACTTATTGACTGCCATATTTATTTAATGACTACTGCAAAAAAGGTTGTCATGTTTTATGACTGTCACAATGTAGGATTTACAATGGGCAGGCTTAAGGACTACTTATATGCTATATACCAAGGGTCTTCAAACTTGGCCCTTTTATGACTTGTGGACTTCAACTCCCAGAATTCCTCAGTCAGGCATGCTGGCTGAGGAATTCTGGCAGTTGAAGTCCACAAGTCATAAAAGGGCCAAGTTTGAAGACCCACGCTACATGCTAAAGTTGTTTTCATGTTCCATGCAAATTGTACTATATCTATAAAAGTCACCTAAAGTTGATATTTTTTTTCTTTTTACGATCCTGTAATCCCTTAATTTGGGGTAAAGTCGGGGTGACTGAATGGAGTCGAGCGTTTACTGGCCGGATGCCCTTCCTAACTCCTACATGGAGTTTGCAGCAGGTATTCTCTTTGCACCCTGAGAAACAACTGCTGCTACCTACGATTGAACTCTCAACTTTCCAAGTCGGAGGGAAACATCTTCACCATTAGGCCACCACGCCACTCATTTATGTAGTGTAAAAACACATGGTTTCTTCAAATAAGAATATAACTTATCTTACAAATAGCGATTAATGTTCATGACAGTTTCCATCAAATGAGTTCTCAAGTTTCTCGGCCTCATATTAGGCAAGATCATTGCTTCTGCTCCTCTTTGTGAACTTTAACAATAATTGTTTGCAGCAAGAATTTATCAAATTGTCAAGTTGTGGATTATCACAATAGTCAAGAATAGGACAGTTCTACAAGAGACAGATTGTTGAAACTGGGTATATTCATGATCCAAAATGTCACAATTACCAAAAAAGCCTGAAAAAGAATATGGTATTATAGTTAAATGTGTATTTCATAGAGTCAACACTGCAGGAAATCATGCAATATAGAGAACTGGAACCAGCAAGAAAAAATAATCAGGGAAACATATAATTGAAAAATAAAGATTTTCCCTTTACTTATTCCATCCAGCATAGATTGAATTCTTTCAATGGGGAATCCTGGAAGCAACTAGATATGTGAAAAGCAAGCTTGTAAACAACACAGAGAGCTGTCAAAGTGTCTTTAACTCATTATTGTCTCTATCAGCCTTCCTCAGCCTGGTACCCTTCAGATGTTTTTACATGGATTCCTAGGATTCCCAATGAGTGCAATTCCGAAGAACTGTTACAATTCCAATATGTCTGCTATACAATGGATGTGTGTCCACATAAAAGTCTGCCTCCTGCCTTACTTTGAGATGTCAAAGTTTTGAACCAGTGAGGGAGATAGTTCAAAAATTAGATTAGATAGACAGATAGATGGTACGGATAGATGGATGGATAGATAGATAGATAGATATAGACAGACAGACACATAAACAGACAGACATAGATCTAGAGACTTCTCTTTGCAAATCACATCTTCCCTCTGAAACACATACTGGTAAGACTTTGGACTTGCAAGCACAAGCAACCTGAGCATTTTAGCATTCTCTGGGGCATACAACAAATATCTGTTCTCACTCCAGTCCAGATCTAGCTGGGCATCCTGATAAATAGAAATTTTGAAATAGATAATTAAGGTCAGCCCAAATTTGTTAACTTGTCACTATAGAAATAGAACTACAATACAGTTGGGAGGTCTGACAGGATTGGGTAATGATCTTTGGAAGTATGCAGAGTCTACTATGTAAGCGGACATACATGAACGATGGTGAAATCTTAGTTTTGAAAATAAAAATATTTGAAAACATAAAGAGATATTTGGACCAACCTTCCCAATTACATTTTTGAAACCATGACTCTTCAGGAAAGCATTTCATGATAGGTAACCCTAAGCAACCCTGAATGGTGGTACATCAAACTGATTATAATTCTGTTACAAATGGATTTTATTAATTTTAACACTTAATAAATCATCCAGTATTTTTGGAAAGGATGTAATCTAAAATAGATAAGGAAGGAAGTGAAGTGGGGTGGATTGGAATCTCCAAGGGAAAATCTCTTAAGTTCCAGAAGGTGATATAAACCAGCTATGATCCATTCATTTTAGAAGAAGGAGGCTTTTAAAGATATATACCATAGCATTATATCAGTGCCTTGATCTTAGTTTCATTAATGTCAAGTCAGCAAACATGGAAATAACAGAAAAATTGACTATAGAGAATTTCAGTGGGGAAAATCTTGAACCTGAAAATTGACAATTCAAAGAAAAGAATCCCTGAATTGTTATTTTTTAGTGGCTAAGCAGCTTTATAATTCTAAGAATATTAATCACCACAGGTGTACTAAACAGAAAAAAACAAGCCAAAATGTAAAAGAAAAATATGAAAAATATTATTTACAACAGCATTGTTATAATACCTTAAAAAACCCTCTCCAATGAAAAATGTTTTATCAGTTCAAAGGCTATACAGAATTTTATTATATTTGCAAATGTAACATTATACATCATAAAATATTGGAGAGGGAGGGAGAAGACCCATATCAGCCATAAATGAGAATTTAACAAACTGATAAAACTATATCAGTGTTTCTCAATTTGGTGTCCTCCAAATGTTATGGGACTACAACTCCCAAAATATGTAGTCATGCTGACTGAGAATTTTGAGAATTGAAGTTCCAACAAATCTGGAATACAACAGGTTGCAGGAGGATGGTCTAAATAATGCAATAATATACACACCAATATAAATTTAGATGAGAATATGAATGTAAACATTCATTAACATACAACATGCATAGACATATACTGACCTTCTGTTTCAGAACTGTAGCTTTTGCAGTAATTGTGCTTTACCATCCACAGAGGCATCAATCTAACAGGCACTGTTGATGTATAGTCCCTCTCTTTTGTAAGAATACATGCAGCCAGGGAATTCCTGTACATCCCTCCCACCCCCCCACCCCCATGTAGAAATGAATGCAAGCTATGCAGTCTCAGTGCCCAGCAGATTGTGCCTAGAAGTGCATTGCTTCTAGGGAGTAGAACATCACACAAGATACTAGGTTTCAACTAGCTAGCTTCCATAGTGGAGCTAATAAAATTGAAATTCTGCTCTTCGTTAATAATAGCAACACTTAGCTGTATAACTAGGCACATGTCTTTTCTACATTTTAAAAAATATAGACTTGGGGGAAGGGCTATATCTCTCTTATAACTTCACCCTTTGCTGTTTTAATTAATGTTAAATTCCAAATTTTATAAACCCTTTTATGCAGTGAGCTGTTAATCTAACAAAACGATTGACTCGTATATGGTGTGCAAGAATACAAACATCTTGTTAGAATGATGGAAAGGAGGAGAGAATTTAAATTAAATTGTTTTAGCTAAAAGCTATCTAAAAAGGGGGGAATTGCCAAGATAATAATTTAATATCTTTCTTTAAAAAAAAGTGCAGAGAAAACCTGGGTACTGTTTTACCTCAGAGCAAGAGCCACAGAACAATCAATAGGCTGTGTAGTCATAATTGGCAAGAGGTTCCTTTTACTGCTTCTGCTGAAAGTGAGGAGATATGGGGTAACAGTCACACATGAGCCAATCACACTCAAACAAATGGGTGCAATATCCCACTATCACCATAACTGTTGTTATTAGCAAGAAAGAAGCAGTAAAATTTCACAAAACGTATTTAAAAATCCCTGAAATGTGTATGCAAAAGCCTGTTTGCCTGGATTACCACTGTAACTACTACTGAACATGTATGTACAATATTGCAAGAAGTTCTGAATTATATATGAAATCATATATATTGCTTCCTCCGTTCCCTTCATTCTAGATTACAGACGTTTAATTACTGCATTTCAGTCTAGTTAAAATATAATATTCAAGTAATAAGATATTCTAATGGAGCGGGGATGCAGGGAAAATGAAAAATTTACTGTTGTATTACACAACTACATTTAAAAATTAAATAAAACAAATGTAAAATTCTGGTGCATATACAATACATTGGTTAAGATTTCTAAAACTAGGGTTTTGCTGGTTTTTTTAAAAAAAGAAGTATCACTTTTTTGTGATACTATAGTTATGCACAATAATTTATACCTAGTAAGAAATAAAATTTTCCATCTTCCACAAAATATATATAACTATAACATTCACATTGCTAGTTTAAGAAAACAAAATGTGAGTTTTACATATTATGTAGCAAACTTTGTGGACCCTTCTAAATCAATACATGAAGCCTTGATTAAATAATGCTTGAATAACAAATCTGGTTTGTCCCATACAAAACATCAGATTTTTTTTTAAAAAAACTAAAAGCTAAATAAGTTTTCCCATTTCACAATGGAACATTTACAAGCATAGTTTAGTTACAGGGGAAAAAAATCTACAATATGATAGTAATGAAACAATGAGAAAATATACATAAGTTATCGTCCTCATAGAGGGATTCTGTGTCAATTTCCACAGGGGAATGAGCTAAAACTCAATCTTTTTCTGATCATATTGTTTGGTAAATTCACAGAAGAGAGCAATGCAACATATTAGTATTCAGAGCTAAGCCACATGATTATTAAATTCATCATTTAATTGTACCACTTGAGGCTGGAGCAGTGATTAAATGTTAACAATGTCGTAATGAAAATATGATTTAATTCATTTGTGTTCAAGGAACTAGTTATCTAATGAACTTCTGTCTTGTTCACCTTTGTTCTTGCAAATCCTGGATGGTATACAGGTGAAATTTCTGCTCATGAGAGAGATTTCTGTTCAGTTACTGTGACCTCCTAAGCCCTGTTCTTCCTCCTCATCTCTCATTCTATTCAGGAGGGCCCTGGGACCAGTTTGGAGAAGGAGAAGAAGGAAAAACCACTTCTATAGATTACTTACTATTAGCACCACATTAAAAGGAACCTTTGCTTTATATACATGAGTTTTTCAATAGGATTAAACAGCTTTAGGGTCATTAGAAGAGGTTAGTAATATCATTTCAGAAGAAGGAATGTTATTTATATGTTACAGAAATGAACAGGGATGAAAGAAGTGAACTGTAAATTTGTTTTAAGAAACCTACATATTAATGTAAAAAAAAGTGCAAACATTGTTATTACTTCTTTAAAAGACAGTAATTTAGACTCAGAAATTTGGATTGCTGGTTTTTGGCAAACTGAATATCAATGCAATAGCTCTTCCAGATATACAAAAGTGGGGAATACATCTCATTTTGTTTTGGTTTTAGTATGACCCCTAGGTATAACCATGGTTATTTGTGAACCATGGGTTATGTCTTAGCATGATGTGCTAGCCCAACCATTATAGTTGGCTCAATCCATCTGTGACCAAGGAAATTAAGTAGAATGTGTGCATGCGACAATGTACAAAGATGTGCATAAGCTCTCACATATTTTTGGGTACAAAAATATGGGGAAGCTTATGAACATTTAATTTCCGCTGCAGTCTAAAATGGTACAACCCAACAGCACACACATCACATAAAGCAATTATCATACATTTTAGCTCATAGCTAACAGATTTCAGGCAGTCCACTCCAGCTGCTCTATCTTATTCTACTTTTTTTTGTTAACTAAATATAAAATATTTACATAGATATTTTTCAGATTTTATAAAATTGCACACTGCCTACTATTGTAGCTAGATTTTAAAAAATCATCCCCACCCACCCAAAAGGACTGGATGCTATACCAAGTTTACCTTATAACATAGTTAAAATATGCCAATTCTTTATCAAAACATCTGAAAGTGTTTTAACAAACACTCCGCTTCACCTAAAGAGAATAAATTTGTTTCTTTAACCTGACATCCTCCAGATGATTCCTACATTTCCAAACAGCATAACTAAAGACTAAAATATGCCAAGTTGGAGAAGCATGAACTGGGTATTTAAAATACACAAAATATCCATTTCCCAGAGCTGATAATTTGAATCAGATTTCATAAACATAAAAGCAGTATTACTGGAATTTGGGGGGGGGCATGTGGGTTTTGCCATATGCATCTTAGGGCTTTTCCACTTCTCTGTCCTATATTAGACCAGCTGGTTGACATTCTTTATAAAGGATTTATTCTCTATTGATTCTTAAATTTGTCTATGGCTTCTCCTCTTACAGACAGAGAATTATTTCCTTAGTGGTTATGCCCAGACCAGGCTCACCTATCTTTAACATTTCTGGTATTTTTCTGGCATTTGCTCTGATGTCATTTGCAACCTTTAACTATTAATTGGTAAATAGGTGAGTTAATCTTAGTTGACAAAGGCAAGCCCTAACATAATAAGCTGTGAGTGAAGGAAACATTTTTTTGCAGCTGTTGTTAGACCACTTTCTAGGGGTAAGTTATTTCATACACTGTCTTCAGGAACTCAAAATGTAACTGTAGTTACAAATTCATTTTTATCTGATTTGTGCATTTGAGTTGAGAAGATACCAAAGTCAATGTGGGGGAAAAATATTGCTGCATGCCCAATTAAAATACTAACAACTTTCAATTGTTAGAACTCACTGATTAAAACTCCCAACATCTGTGCATCTTTCAGAAGAACGGACCTCACATGCTGTCAAAGCCAAATGTCTAGAGTCATCTGAGGAGAGCCATGGATTGGATAGAAATGGAATAAAATGTATGACTGGAAGATTACTTGCCAACAAGCATTTTAGGTACTGATACACTCTATTTTGTATTTGTGATTACTGCTACTAAGATCTCATCCAGATCAACAATTAACCATGGAAAGCTAAGATATAGCTTCCACTCACCTTAATAGAACATGAGGTCCCCAATGCAACTGTCTAAAAGCACCTCAAATTAGTACAAGCTGTTGCTTTGTCTTAAACCCCTGGATATCCAAATCAAGTCACTTATTTTGCTACTCCCCTACAGATTAAAATGCAAGTCCACTGAATGGCAAAATATATGCATATATAGAATCAAAGCAAGGTTACACACTGCACATTCCCTTTTGCACTAAATAAAAAGGTTCATTATAATAATAAAAATCACAATATCAGTGAGCATTCTAAGGAGGAGTTGAATATAAGAACAGAATTAGACATAGAAAAAAATCTGTTTTCTATCCTGGAAATCACATCCTTCCTATCATTAATTTCAAATAATCTACTAAACCAACTAGCACAGCTTTCCCCACAGTGTGCCTCCAAGTATTGGGATTACTGGAGGACATCACTTTGGAGAGGATTAATCAGCATAGACACAATACTTTTCTTAACAGAAAACTCACTCATTAAAAAAGAATAAAATAAAAGGTTACCTTATCAGCAATGATTATATCATAAAAATAAGTTTAAATCAAACAAGGGCATATAGAAATGCATACTATTATCTTACTACAGAGTATATTTTAGAAATGCCCCTGCTGTCAGGAGGTAACTTGTGAGCATGACAAGGAGCCAGATTGGCTAATCAAAGTTTACAGAGAGGGATGTAGTTAGTTCAAGAAGTCACTGATGCTTTAAAACTTGATGGTGTTGAAAACGGAGAGCTTGTTCCAGGAGTTGCAGAAATTGGATTGGTGGTTGGTTGGGAAGATTGAGGAGAAAGTTAAGGCAAATACAGAACAGGAACAGAAGTGTTTGCCTATATTTGTGATCTGTCCTCTCTCTTTTTCTCCTTTTTTTTTTTTTTTGGTAATAGCTGCTTGTCCACAGAGTTATGATGCAGATGGCTGTCTGAAGTTTTGCTAATACCTGATATTTCAGATAACATAGTAGTCAAACATAATCTTGTTCTAAGCTACTTGTGTTTTTCATGAAGTGGATGAATATCTGACATCCAAAACCGAAGTAGCCTGGAATAGAAGAAAAGGATGGTAGTGGTAAGCAACATTAAAAAAAAAAATTATGCGCGTGCACATATCCCTTTTATTTCATTTCATTTCTGGTTTAAGAAAGAAGAGTAGACACTGAAAGAAAGGAAAACCCACAGATAGTTATATAGAGCAATGAATTACTAAGTCTCTCCTCAGATTCTATTATTGGAAATCTCAATCAATATTCTAAATCAAATAGAATTCTGAAACACTGAGTTCTATTGTGAGAAGCATAATTTTCAATGAAGCGAGAAAGAGAAAAAAATGTTAGTACAAATGTCAAACTTGTCTCTTTGGCCACAAATTTATACATTTTTGTTTCATCTCCTTCAGATATTTATGGTATTATAAATAATGCCAAAATAAATATTAAAAACTACAAATAATGGTGGTCTAAAACCACACTATGAATACATAGAAAGTATTAGAAAAAAAATCAGGGGAACAAATATGACTGAAAAGGAAGATTTTATAGATTAATACTATTATACACTCTTGAGAGACCCAAAGGTGCTTTTCCAAAACTGGACTTTCTTGTTTTTTCTTTGAAAACATTTCATTCTCATTCAAGAAGTTCTGATAACTGAAGAAACTTCTAGGATGAGAAGCAAAATGTTTTCAAAGAAAAAACAAACAAACCAAGAAATCCAAATGGAAAAGCACATTTGGGACAATCATGACCTGCATGATTGAGAATTTCCATAGATATTCCTTAGAGAGTTCATTTTCCAGCTACAGGCCACCATCATGAAAAGAGGAAATCTTTCCATTTTTTAACTTTCTTTATATTTATTTATATATACATTATGGTGCTTTATTCTATCAAAATAAAATTCTGTCTTCAGTGGGTATTGGAGAAGGAGTGATACAGGGATGAGAACGCTCCAAGTTGTAAAAGAAAAAAAAAAAAACCTTGAGAATATGAAACCAAACTAAACTGTATTCAGCAATGAAAATTTATACAGCAACTACATCCAACATAGGTTTCCAAATGCAGTTACAACGTTAAATTCAATTATGTGGAACATTTTTGTCAAATATTATGGCTTCCTCTGTCAAAACATTATTACTGATCACATCAGACCCTCCTAATTTCACTGTCTACATTTGTGAACATTCCAACTTCACTGACAGTTAAGGGATGATATCCATTTCCAAACAGCATGGTTATATAGTAGACTTATCCAAAAGCTAACCAAAGAGTTGATGCTACCAAAAACTATAATCCAGTTTTGGAAAATAAATGCATATTGCTCTCAAATAATAATAAAAAACCCTACTACTACCTCATCTTCTTCTTCAGATACTTTAATAGTATTATCCGGAGATTTGACGGGTTTCTGTGTACTGGTTCCATTTGTCTCGGCCTTCCCATGCTCAGCTTCCCACTCCTGTAGGACTTCGTCTATGTTAAAACGCCGCCGATAATTTACGAAAAAGTTTTTCACTTGCACCACAGACTTGTTTCCAATTACATCAGAGATTGCTTGAAAATCACGACCATATTTCCTGATTGCTACAAAAGAAAACATTTCTATCAGTACCATTTCTGAAGCTCAGAGGACAATGTATATAATCTTCAAACTAATACTACAAATTCCTAATACTAAGGAATCCTGTTCAGAGTAGCATGCATTTTCACAACGTGCAGGGAGCTAGGTTAGATTGTGTGGCCTAAGATCATCCAATAGACATGGCTGTAAGAATTTAGCCTAGATCCCCTTGTGACCTTGAATGGGATGTCAGAATAAAATTTGATCAGTGCATATTTGCATCAACAGTACTGCAAAAAATGCATGCTGGAGATGCTGTAGGGAATTTATTGACAGAGCAAATGAACCTCATTGAGATGGAATAGGTATACTATTTATAGTTTCAAAGTCAACAACTAAATTTAAGGGATACATCAAGAGTCACACTATTTCTAAACCAATTACAGGTTTATAGAAGAGTGGTAAATCTTGGCTTTCTTAAGTTTTTGCTTCAATGTGGTTATTTAGTTATTATTTTATTTATTTTATTTATTAAATATGTCCACCAATCTCATGCAAGACAATTCTAGGCAGTGTACAATAAAATCAACAATTTACACTTACAGTATCATAAAACCGATTAAACCAATTATATTAGTTACTAAAACTATATGTTTGAAAATATTTGATATTTTGTATGGCCAAATATAAATTCAGCTATATTTCCTTTTAATTTTTCTTATCCCATACTTTCAGACTTTTTCTCCTTATTAATTCTTTCTTCTTTTGTGTATTTTGCTTGTCACTGCTTCTTCCAAAGAGTAAATACTCTGATAATTATAAATTAATTTAAGGCCATCCAATTCAAAAGTCTAGCTGGTGAACAATGTTAAAAACAAATTAAAATCCAGCAACAATCTTTTAAAAGTGAAGCAATCTTGAAAACTTGATATACCATCAAACATCAAGAGTACTGTGAAAGATTTCACCATTGGTTAGCCCAGTATATATAATATGCTATCTAGTATGCTGTTCTCATGATGAAAAACATCATATTGAGGCAATTAATGTTAATTGCTCATTGTTTTAAAAAAAAGTCAGCAAGAAAACTAAACTCTGTAATCTGTGTAATTATTTTCCATTTTTAATCTGTTTGATACATTTTTTTATTCCATCTACATGAGTATGTTCACGTTCTTGGTTTAAATATTTCAAAATCATTTTAAAAAGAAACAAAAAATTAACAGCACAAGTAACTATCCTATTCCTAAAATATTTAATTGGTTAACGCAGGGTTGCTTTCTCAAATTTGGGCGTACAATGATCCCCTGAAATTAATGAATTTGTGTAAGCCTCAATAATAACATTATTAAATAGTATGATTATCAATATCAATACTTGCTGGTTGGAAGAATTGATTTCTACAATTGTGTGTGATCATTTAGGTGGCTAATATACCTCTTACTCCAGAAGTTGCTAATTTCCTTTTGGTAACTTGTGAACAAAATCCAAATGGCACCACTGCATTTCTTCAATGGCAGAGTCCTCTGGTCTTGATGATGTCCTCAACTTTCCTAGACTGCCTTAATACTAGCGGTATCATCCCTCAATCAGATGTGTTGCTGTACTTGAATCTACTGAGGCAAAATTCCATCTACTTGCAGATTTGTTGCCAGCCACTATTGTAGGAAGGAGAGCACTGTTTCAACTTATCACTGGGGCATTCACATTTCTCAGGTAGGAGAAACAGGGCTCTCAGAAGGGACAACCTGCCTCCAGAAGTTGTGAATGCGCCAACACTGGAAGTTTTTAAGAAGAGACTGAACAGCCATTTGTCTGAAATGGTATAAGGCAGTGGTGGCAAACCTATGGCACGGGTGCCAGAGGCGGCACTCAGAGCCCTCTTTGTGGGCACGCACGCCGTTGCCCCAGTCCTAGACCTTCAGCTGGGTTTTATAAAACCTTTTCACTTTAGGCCTCCGCCGCCATGTACAAAAAAAAAAAAAAAAAAAAAAAAGGTTCAATCAGTCAATTTCAACTTCTTGCGGGAAAAAAAAAAGATCTTGCAAAGTTGGAATTGATTGATTGAACTTTTTAGTCCCACCCAGTCTGCTGTTACCACCACAGCCACACCCACTCAATGGGCCACACCCATCCGGCACCCAACGATGCATAAGTGGGTTTTGGGTTGCAGTTTGGGCACTCAGGCTCCTAAAAGGTTTGCCATCACTGGTATAGGGTTTCCTGCTTGAGCAGGGGGCTGGACTAGAAGACCTCCAAGGTCCCTTCCAACTTTATATTATTATTATTATTATTATTATTATTATTATTATTATTATTGGAATCACATATGGATATAAAAACAGCATCACTGGCTACAGAACAGAAATTAAGTTTCAAAAGACTTGCCACCTCTACCTGAACAAGCCAGTTATAACCCTTCTCAAATATGCTCAGTCTCCCGGGCATACACGTTTGATAAATAAATAAATAAATGCTAATGACTGATCCCACAGGAACTCCAAGCCATATTTCTATGTTAATAAATATGCTTCCACAACCTGACAAAAGCAGAAACAAGGACCTCCTCTTGTAAGCACACCCTTCTAAGTATGCCCGCAGTGGCTGAAATTGAGCACAGTTTGCATACAGTGCAAGTGCATATAGAAAGAAACTATTCCTATGTTTAAAATATGCACACTGAATGTACACATACCATGAAGAGTACAAGACATGAATAAGGCTACCATGTCCAGTCAAACTCCACCCATTCAAGCAACAATCATGACTTGGAATATGAGGAACTGGGTTGGTCATCAGCTGGCATATGGGAAACTGTCACTGCAAAAATGAATGAGTCTGACCACCCTAGAGTAAATGCAGTTCAGTTATCAAATGTTAGCATTGACCCTAAGACATGAGTCAAAAGCAGAATTTGGGGAATTATTTCACTGGCCAATGAGGAAATGCTCCATCAGAAATCAAGACACAGGGTCATCTTCCCTACAGATAGGAATATATTTGCAATGCCATACCTTGTACTGCAAGAAGCTGTTCATCTGTGGTCCAGCGTGCATTAAATTTCAATGTTACCTAAGCATCATGAAACATAAAGAGAATAATTTACTTAGATAACAGATGTGCTTTTAAACCTCAGCTCCCAAACTGTATACAAATGAAACAGTAAATACATTGCTTGAGCAGTCATTTGCTAAATAAAGACTTCATTATTCTTCTCAGTATGTTTTTTTAAAAAACCTCTTTTCAAGTGAAATTATAGAGGTAGTTCATTATTTAGTTAATAACATTTAATTTATAACAGCAGAAGGAAAAAAGGGGATAAAAGGAACAGTCAACGATTTTAGTACAAGGTTAGCTGTAAGAGTCCATGCAAGGGTTCACTTTGTCAACAAAGTCAAAATTTAAGGGCACTTGGACTGTGGCTTTTGGTATCTTCCTGACTGTGAACTGTGCACTTCTTCTCATCCTAACTTCTATACTGGAGCTGGAAAGGAACTGGGATAATTCCCCAGATTGAAGGACCTCTGCCAGCCCAATATGATTATAGGGATAAATGGCAAATTTGATCAGCTTAAGTGAGGTGCTCTTCTATAAACTTTAGAAAAGAGGGGGGGGACATAATTTCTCTTTAGCACATATGCTTACCTCTGATAACCTATATTGCTCTATTCCCCCTTCAAGTTTCTCTTTCAGAGAGCTGTTTGTTTGTTTGATATTTTGAATCTGAAAAGAAAGGTCCTCTTTCAGTATGGATAATATACAAAGTTTGAGTAAAATTTGATCCAATCTCAAAAATTCTCTAAAACATTATCTATTCCCCCCACCAATCATTTAAACAAGAGCCCCCATTCTTCCATGAACTACAGTTCCCTCCCCAACTAAGATTGGCCTCTTGTCCTTTTTTCCCCTCCCCCTCAAATATCCAATAACTCAGTAGCTGGGAAGCAATAATGGGAAATAGGCTCTTTCATTCTTAGCCTCTTTGGGGACTTTCTAATGTTGATACTTGTAAAAAACAAGATACTAAGTTGGATGGTTCCCAACAGAACCCTTACATTTTTTAAACGATCATGTTCCTATTGCTTACCTATGTCTTTCTTTTCAATACCAAGGCATTTAAAAAACAACAATTCTAATTCACCCTCTGAACTGCAGCCACTCATTATTTTTATTTTGTGAAGATGCCTAAGGAGGTGGTTTTTTTCCAATGTCTGATTATAATAAAAGCTATCTATCTACCTGCCAGTGGAACATATGACACTGGTGATACTGTAGGTTGAAGCTGTGTTTTGCAATCCACCGTTTTCCATTTAAATGTCTTTTAAAATTAAAATAATCTTTTAAAATGTCAAGTAGAAGAGACAATGTGGTAAATGTAAAAGGAACTGATCATTGCTGGATGTGGTTAAGTGGATACCCATGGGACCAAACAATGACCTGTGCAGTAATCTTCTAACCAACAGAGGAAATAGAAGAATAAAAGCTAGCTGCATAGAAGTGGGTAAGGCAGAGGAAATATATTCTAATATTTTATGCTTGAATGTGTAAAATTAGAATTTAGATGGAAATCAATAAAATAATTGACTATTGATATAAAAGTTCTCAGAAACCAGAAAGTCCAAAGTATGGAGAAACATGGAAACTGATTTATGGAAATCCGTAATGACTCCTGAGTAAGATGCAGGAAGTTGGCAATTCATCTTGCTGCACTGTAAATAGAAAGCCAAGTTGAAATAATTCTCCTCTAAAATGTACTGCAACTGACAGCTTGTTAATCAGGTCTCATCCTGATGCAAAACATCTCACCCAAGCTATAAATCCTCCCAGGGAGCTGTGAAGTTGAGATTGTTTAAAATATGTATCAGATGATTAAAAAGAAGCCTCGCTCTGTTGCCAGGAGAAAACACATACCTGTCGCTTGATGGAGACGAGCTCCATATCCAGTTGCCTGAGCAAAGTGGTGGCAGCGGTTGCGTTGGCAGACACAGCTTCCACGTCTTCCTGAGAGAGAAACATTCCTTTGGGAGGTTTCCTCTTGGCCCTGTTCTTAGCAGCCTGGGTACTGTGCTTTTCTTTCTTTACCTGAGGAATTGTTTCCACGGGAGGAATCTGCAAAGGAGAGATCTACCATATATAAGCCTGATGACTCAACCACAAGCTATCCACAACTACTGCCACTTCCAAATACACCCGAAGCCTGAGATATATAGTCATAAGTGTACTCTTTTTCTAAGATCCTGTATTACGAAAGCCAAGTACCAAATGGATATACTGTCTTGCTTCACCTTTATACTAAACCAGCACACCTCCCTATCCTAAGTGGATAGAGTCAGCATTTTCAGAATTTAATGGGTAACATAGGCATGTAATTTTAATCTTCCCAGAACACAGAAGCCATATGTTCCTGAATATGAGCTCTTGAAGCTTTAGGGCATCCATTTTGCCCCTCAAAATCCTTCAAAAAGGTCAGCTTGCAAAGTAGTCCAATCCAAAGGCATCATAGCATCATTCTTCTGGCTTGCCACAGACCAAAAATCTTTGAAAATCATGTAAGACTCTCTGCACATTGAACTGTGGGACAGTTTGTTGGTGTTGCCCAAGTACTTTTCTGCTAAAGTAACAACAGCACTGGAAGGATACAGACACAAGAGCACAAAATGCACCCATATTTTTTAAATGAAGTAAGATGAAGTCTGCTAAGTATCTTCCTTAAGTTCTATTACTAAATAGGGAAGGTAAATCACTAAGCCAAAACTACACATAATACGATGGCTCCAACATACATGAGAAACGCTCTTTTACCAAAGACTACCATCCTTATTCCCCATCTGGAGAAAAGGACTCAATAGCCCCATCTAGGGCTAGAGTGACAACATCCACCACATGTTCCAGGCATGCCACTGAAAGCCAACCAAAGCACTCTTTCCAAGCTCAGGCCATCAGCACCTCAGTTTAATAGTGTATCAGAAATAAAAGAAGATATCTCAGTTGAGCACGGGAATGGTTGAATTAGAAAAAAAAAACTAAAAATGATGTTAGATATGCAATTTCGTGTGTGTCAGCCAGAGGGGAAGAAAAAGAAACTAATTTAAGACAAAACATGAAGGGTCAGATGATTGCAGGCTAATCCTTAAAGCTCATTCCTTTTTATATGCAGCACAGCAAAATTGACGGATAAAGATTTTTGCATGACTATGAAATCTGCCCTAGAAAAAGGTCTTTTGGGGACAAGTATGAAACATAAAGAATGAATCTGAGACACTGTTTTAGATTCCTGCAAAGGGACACTTGGATCTGCCTGCCATTCCACTAGCAGTGTAATTTTTAAAATTTCTTCTGAATCTTTTGATAACACTAAGGACATGTCTGCAGAATGAATGTGAAAAGACCCTTAAAATGCTCCCTGTTAAGGGAAAGCCATAATTGCCTCTGCCTTTCTTCAAATGAAAACAGCAAAGCATATAGGAATCAAACAACAACTACGGAGCCTTCCTACTCCAAGGAAAGCAACCTCCAGCCTCAACAGGAAATTGTATATACAGAAGTCCCAGAAGATTCTGCCTCTTCCAATAAGGAAGGGAGGCACATGAACCTCACCTTAGTTTGACAAGTCCATTCTACCTAAAAAGTCATGGTGCCTCAGAGGCCTGCTTGCTTCCCTCTGTCTGCTTCCATGTCTGCTCAGTGATAACCATGTTTTATTACAGTGGGCACCTTGAAGGAATACTAGTCACTTTTAATCATCCTGTGATCTTAAATCAGTGACTTAAATCAGGTTTCAAACTTGAGGCTGGTCTTTGGTTTGAAAACAAACTTGATCTAGCATTAATTAGGATTTTGCTAGTTTGAGCATCAAGTGCTGAAGATAGAATGCTCAGTAATGGGCTGGGCATACATGAGAAAGGCATTCAGAGAAGGGCTGGCCAGAAACAGGAAAAGAAACACTTCCCAAGACAGTTTCCCTCAACCAGAGTTAAAATATTAATTAGGCTCCTTGTCTTCCTTAGACATGATCCTATGCCCACACTGATTCACTGAAGCATATTCAAAGCCACATGCAGCATTAGTACAGTGGTTCTCAACCTGTGGGTCGGGACCCCATTTGGGGTCGAACGACCATTTCACGGGGGTCGCCAAACAACACAGTCCGCCATTTTTTCCCACTTTTCCTTAGCTGTGCTACTCCCTTTTATTCTATTGGCTTTTGAAAGCCAATAGAATAGACTCTCTTGAATAGAGTCTAATTCTATTGGCTTTCAAAAGCCAATAGGAATTGTCCAGGCTGTCTCTGCCCTGCTGAACCCGCCAAAAGTCCCATTCTGCAAACGGTGCTGCACCAGTTGAGTAGTCTTCGACTTATGACCGGTTGGGGGGTTGCGGCATTAAAAAGGTTGAGAACCACTGATCTAGTACTTATGTTGAAAAACTGACTTCACATATTGCACTAAGCTGTAATATATGGGTTTATCTGGTTTAAGTTTAGCATGTTAACTTTGTAACTGCAGTTTATTCAAGACACTACAGTATATGTACATACTGTACACTTGTCCAAGCAGTCTCTGAGAATCGGATCTAACTGAATGGAAGGAAAAAATAATGTAATATGCAAAACAAACAATGCATGGGGGGGGGGAATACATGGCTTTATAAGGACATTTATGTTTTCCCTATAAAAAGATCCCAGATTCCTCCCTGGCATTTCCCAGCAAAGGCCTAGCAAAAAAAAAATTAGCTACTATTTGCAGAAAGTAACTTAATCTATATAGATCAATTACATGAAAGGGATTAAGGGCAGTTTTATATATTACTGTGTTTTTAATACTGCTGCACTGAAACATCAAAAATCCATAACACCTCTCACCAGCTTACAAGTGATAAGAGTTCATCACTCTATAGCAGGGCTTTTCAATCTTTTCACCCATTGTACCACTTTTAGGATATGGCGATATCCGAGTACCACCAGTCGCCTAGCAAGGTATCAAAAAACTTGCATGACCAAAAAAAAAAGTGATAAAGTACAGGTAGTCCTCGGCTTACAACAGTTCGCTTAGTGACTGTTCAAAGTTAAAATGGCACTGAAAAATGGGCCCCCCAAGGCACAGCCAAGCAAGACAGCGCCCGGCGGCGCTCTTCCTCCTGTCCGAGGTTTTCATTGTTGTGAGCATTTCTGTTGAGGATTGGCAGCGGGGGTGGGGTGGGGGGTGTTTGGTTTTCATTCCCCCCCCGTCTGCTGGGTGGTTGCAGCAGGGTTTGGTCAATTCACATGACCCTGGGACACTGTGACCGTCATAAATATGAATCAGCTGCCAAGCATCCAAATATAAATCATAAGACCCTGGAGATGCTGCAACATTCCAGCTGATCGGCGCTTCTTCTGGGTTCAGCAGAAGTGCCAGGATCACCGCCGAGCTCCAGCTGGAGCTGGTGCTGATCCTGGCGCTTCCGCTTAGACCTGACAACCCTGCAGCTCCAGCCATCTCTTGCTCAGGTTTGTGCGCTGCTACCACCAAATCAGTATTCCCCTCCCCCACTACCACTTTTCTAGGATGGTCGCGTACCGCCTGCCAGGTGCCAATGTACCACAGATGGTACCCGTACCACTGGTTGAAAAGCCCTGCTCTATAGCACAGGTGTCAAACTCAATCATGCTATGTGATGTATTGTGACGTATCATGACATGTTTTGCATTTGCGGAGCTGGGGTGGGCGTGGCCTGTGTGTGGTGCATCTGGCCCATGGGCCGCCAGTTTGACTCCCCTGCTCTATAATATGGAATAAATTAAATTGCAGTTTTAGCTTCTAAGCTATTGAACAGACTCCTAGTTCTTAGCTGTCACATTTCAGCACAAAGATCGGTGGTCACTATTCATGTTTTCAACTTTTCTGTAAATTTGAAAATTTAGAAAAACACTGTGTTTTTTTTTTTGACACCACAAACAATCAATGGCTGGCAGATGCAATCCAACTTTGCAGGCATCTGGCAATATGTTTTTGACAGAAACATGCCACTAGAGATGATTTGAAAAGATATTTCTCATTACTTACTATAAATGGAAAATGGCAAAAACATAGCAAATCATGGTCATATGACCATAGAACGAGGCAACCGCTTGTAAATAGCAATAGTGCTTAGACTTATATACTGTTTCACAGAGCTTTACAGCCCTCTCGAAGCAATTTACAATCAGTAACTGCGAGCTGGTTGACAAAATGCCCAAAATACAATCATGAGGCTACAACGGTGGTGATGGTGGTATGCAACAGTCAAAACTTCAAGGATGGGTTATACATAGCTTTTTTGAAGTCTGTTAGAACTTCAAATGGTCATGAATCAAACATCTTTAAGTGAGAACCATCTATGCTGTTCCTGAGTAACTTATCTTAAAAAAATCTACTTAGATCCATGTTTCCTTATTATGTTTATGTAGGAAAGTAGACTTACTTTTTCTCCAGTGTGCAAATATTGAAATGTTAATTTTTATCTTAAGCTATAGTGAGATACACAAATTAAAAAATTATTAGAATGGAAGAAGATTATAATTTAAGAAAACTGTGATGTGAACACTGAAAGTAAATTTTTTTAAAATATCCCCTATTACAGTGATGGCAAACCTTTTAGAGACCAAGTGCCCAACCATCCCCGCCCCCCACACTATCCCCGCCCCGCGTCCACCCACCGCCTCCATGGCCTGCCACAGATCGCCCAGGTGGCCCAGAAGCACCATGGTGGCCACGCCCTCTGCCCGCAACCCGCAGCATCATCTGCACGTGATGGGGCCCGAGGGTGGAGTCTTGTCTCCGTTGCCCAGCTGCCATGTCCTTAGCTGTGCTATTCCACATGGGGCAGCTCTCCTCCAGGGGGGCTGCTGGTGAGGGGGCCATGGGAGGAGGCGGGGCTGGAGCAACGGCGCTCGTGCCCAGAGAGAGGGCTCTGAGTGCCACATCTGGCACGCATGCCATAGGTTCGCCACCACTGCCCTATTATCATAATAATATTTAATACTGTTTAACTGAACAATAAAGTTATGAATTCTGCAGGTGAGAAAAAACTTAGCCATGCTACTTCTAGAAAAATATGACAGTGAAGGAAAAATATGTACATCTTACAGATTTAATGTTTTGGGA